TTCACGGTTGTAGTGTGTCTTTCATTGGCTTGTTTGAGTTTTCTTCAGCATCATCTTGAACTTGCCTAGTAAGCAACAAATGGCCTGTTCTGTAGTAGGCCACTGGCCTTGTTCTGATTGATGTTAATGAGCTTCTTCATTGTCTCTTCCTATAGATATAGTCATTTAGTTAACTATGAATCATTTGCTTACCTTGATTCCTTTCCAAATAAGGATCAATTCTGACAAATATGATGTTGGTAAAAGAAATAGTGTGGGAGACTGCATGATGAAATTTTGAAAGTCTAAGAACCTTTTCATTAGAATTATCTTCTCAACAACATAGGAATGACTAAATATATTTGTCTCCTAAACAGTACAGAGAAAAAGTGAATTTTGTATATTTTTCAAATAATTTATAAACAAAGAAAATTTTTAAAAAAATAAGTAAAACATTGAGATGTTAGAAGAGGAAAAGTAAAACATAGTAGCTGGTAAGAGGAATACAAGCCTTTGCATTGTGGTGTTAGCCAAGAGTACTGAATATACCATGGCTTGCCAAAAGAATAAACAAATCTGTGCTTGACGAAGTGCAGCCAAGGTACTCCTCTGAGACAAGGATGTTGAAACTTGGTCTCACGTAATTTTTGTCATATTATCAGGAGAGGCCAGTCCTTGGAAGTGGACACATGCTTGGGAAGGTGGAGTTCAAGGAAGGGGAGGAAGACCCTCAATGAAATGGACTGATACAGTGACTGAAATAATGGGCTTATGTAGAGAGGAGATAGTGAGGACAGTGCAGAGATCAGGCAGGATTATGGTCTGTAGTATAGATGGTAACTATGAATCAGAATTGCTTCAATATAGGTACCTAACAATTAGAAGAGGATTAAGGGGTTCAGAAATCACTGGGTGCCACTGTCAGGGGGAATGACAGAAACATAACAGTCTAGAAAATATTTGTGCAATGGTTCAGAAGAAATTAATCTTTCAAAATTCCTGCATTAGTATAACAATACAATACTTTTGAAAGCAAGCTTATGTCAGTATACCAGAAGGCAAAAACTCCAGGCTAATTTACTTTTTGAAAATTTTAATGTGCTTCATTGAGAGTTGTCCTTATTACCTAATTTCAATGACACTCTGAATCATGTGATTTTATCTGTGTATGAGCTACAATCATTTGCTGGGTTTTTTTGTTGTTGCTAATTTTGTCAAATCTGCTGTCTTAGGTACAATATTGAGATAATTAGTATTTGCGAACCTATATTAATAAATTTTTTGAGAATGAAGTAGTAATTTAAGGAAAAGGAGAAATGTAAAAAAAAAGGCTTCCACATAATTACTGATAATGCAGTAACTACATATTGTGCAAAACAATCTTATTGTCAGTAATAAGCGATTTAAGCTATAATTATCATATATTATTTTATTAGTAAAATGGAAAATGCTTAATATTAAGGATTCTATATGGCCGAGTATGGGTGCAGGGTGACATTATGAGTTGCCACATTGGGGTACACCAAGCTAATGATGTCATGGCAAAAGGAGACATACATAGAGTCTGGACTATGAAAGAAGTAGATATATGATTTTAGATAAAACACACACATTACCCAGGCTTTAGTTTTTCTCATATCTATAAAAAAAGGAACAGAAAAATCTTGCCCCATTGTATTATTCCAAGGGATAATTCTTCAAATATATGAAGAGTTATAGTCAATAGACTGGATAAGATTATGAAAATGAGATTATAAAAAGTAGAATTTAGAGTAAATATTTTAGAGAAGAATTCCTGACTCCAATTATCTGGTACCTGATAACCGTCTTAGTGTCTTCATTTTCTTTTCTGGGAGAGGTAAAGTTACACTGAACAACCTAACAGAGAGGATCTTAGAAGGTGTGTCATTTATTTCCTTTTTAATTCTGCATTCAGTAGAATAAAGTAATATATACAAGATCCTCCTTAGAAGAATAAATAAGGTTCTGATGAATCAGTGTAAGATACAGCAAGCTATTTCCTTTTCCTTATTACTTGGAAACTTAAGAATTTAAGCAAATTGCCTGGAAGTCAGGCTTAACTATGTAATTCTTCAATTTTTCCATAGGGGAATATATGTTTTTTTCATTCACATTGTGTTTCTTATACTCTGTCACATACGTTTTTTTTTCTTATAAAATTAATTGCCATTGATCTACATCCACTATTACCCCATCTTTTCAGATCTCCACTGGATCTTTCCCAACTCCTACACCTCTATTCCCCTATGCGCCAAATTCTGCAACCCCATGATTTTCCCCCTCCGCACCTTCAGCCCCTCCATCCGTCCTTTGGATTTCTATACTTATCTTACTAGTTATTCTTCTGTTTTTACAATAATGGCCTTATGTACTAATATTTCTCCTTATGAGCCCGAGTTAGTTCACTTAGCATAATGCTCTCTAAACTATATAATTCTTATTTCATCAACTATATCTTAAGTTAGAGTCTCAGCAGGGAGGAAGTCTAGAAAAAAGAGTAAAATTTAGAATTTAAAAATTTAGATATTAGAATGAAGTAAGAAGATAAAAGGATGAGCATTCCATTGTTTACTTTGTCAATATTTCATAAACTAATTGTCAGCTGTATTTTAAACCACAGTAACCCACTATTGCATCAAAAGCATCTGTGCATAAGATCAGAAGAACTAACCACAATTTAACTTTAACAGATACAGTGATAAATGCATATAGAATACAAAGATTAAAACAAGGATTGAATGTTATTTAAATTAGGTAGATACAGAGTACTTCAGAACATAACTGAGCATGGTATCACAACACCGAGAATACATTTCCATATTTCAAAATATGACAGAATTAAAAAAACAAAAACTGAATCACAATTTTTTTGTTATACTATTAAAAGATGCAGCATATTGTATGCCACAATAAAATTGTTTGGGTAATAGTTCAATAAACATTGAAATCTACCTTAACGAAACATCTAAAATACTTAATCTAGCATTGTAATTTACCTAAAATCAATGTTCAAATTTCATTTTATTATAAATTTATCAGTTACCTATAAAAAATAATTTAAGTGAATGATATTTTTAGAGCAACTTCAAAGTGTCTCTATCTTTATAAGTGAATTATATTTTTTTTCTTACTACCAAGGTTAATTTTAAGTAGTATTTAATAGAGTCTTAATGTTCTTCAAGCTACTTTCAAATGTAGTTCAATAATCTAACATATTTGAAAATATATTAATAGACAAAATTAATTTTCCTTTCTAAAAATTTCAGTGTCAAAAGATTCTTACTCAGAAATAATATTTTTGAAATACTATATGACAGATACATTTTTGTGATGCCGTATCTACAGCTTCTGAGACAGATACACACAGTAGGTAACTCAGCAAGCAATATAATTAAAACATATGAAAATTGTTAACTATAAATTCTAGTCAATTTAGAAGTATATTTTCATTATGACATTGGTACATTTTAATTTAGTTTTCATGTTTTAAACAGTCAAGGTATTTACCATAAAAACATCTTCCTTAAAAAAAAATGTCTTCCTTAATCTTTTCTAATCTTTATGAAGGTTAACAGTGATAGAATTTCTGGTTCAGAGACCAACAAGCTCCAATTTGTTATCTATCCATTTTTATGTAAAAAAAAAGTGTTTCTTGAAAATGGGCTGTTTTCATATCCAAATAAATAAGCAAGCGAACATTTAATCCCATTTCAATAACTATTTCCATATCAAGAGTTTGTAGGGAGTTGTGTATGTGTCTTTCTTTGCTTTTGCCCTTGTGTTTTTGTAGTCTATAACATTTCTTGCTCTCAGAATATGTGTCATCATTCTGCAGGAGCAGCAGCTCTGCACACTGTACTATAGGAACTGTTATGACAAGCCTGTTTCCATAGTTACCACAGCAAGTGGGGAGAGGTGTCTGTCAGGGACCAATTTACCTCTCCAGACAGGCAATGTCACCAAAGGGAAAGACATGGTAGCCACAGATTTTAGCTAGAACAAAAACTGGAACAATGAGCAAAATAAAATTGTATTAAATACTGAAGAACATGATAAACTGTCGTTGCTTCATCCCACCCCACCCATCCACCCACCCACACACACACACACACACACACACACACACGCACTTTCAACCTAATATTAAACTGATGGTGTAAACAAAGTTAAAATAATTTATTTTGCCATGAAGAATGTGCTAAATAATAGCAATAAAGTTTACATGAATTTTTTAAAGTCTATATATTAAGAAAAGATGTAGCTAATAGTGCTCCAAATAAAATTTTGATTTAATTATTTTTCACTTCTTTTGTCTTCTTCAATAAAAACAATGGTGCTCTGGAAATAATTCTGCTAAAATAATACAAATGCAATACAAATCATTTAGCAGCTGAAACAGTGAAAATCACTAAGTAAGAGTTAGTTCAAAAAGGCATTAATATCTAATAAAACTTCCCTAATTTTGTTTAAGTTACACTAATTGGAATATCTTTAACTGGGAATTGGGAGGAAGTTTTTAAAAACAGAGATATAGACAGAAAGTTGATATGAACTATTTTCAGGTAGGAAATAAAATTGCATATTATATTCAAGGAAATAACTCCAAATGTAATGAAATAAGAAATAAAATGGTAATTAATATTCTTACTCATTAGCTAATTTGCATTAAATCCTGAATGACAGAAACACAAAAATTTAGAAGAGAAAACACAAGTCTTTGATTCAAAAGTAAGCTTCAAAATGTGGGTACATTTAAATTCTGGGGGCTACAAGGAAATAGTTTAAAATAATTAATGTTCACAAAACATGGACCCATGCATCCACTGATAACTTAGTAAAATGCTATATCTGAACAGTAGAACTGCTTTGCTTATTTTTGTCTTCTGAGCTTGGCAACAATTTGTTCACTGTTGGTTATTTTAAATCCTTTGGGTTTATTCTTAGAGTTTTAAATAAAATGATACACATGAGTGTAAAAAAGCTTTGAAGATGTTCAATACCTGGGAGTTGGATCCATCAAATCCTTCCTCACAAATGATGCTCTGAATGAAGTGAAGCAGCTTTAGGTACCCAGGGTTCAGAGAACTGTTGGTAAGAAAAGTTACAAATATATAAACGGGCTGATCACACAGGAAATACAAAATCTAAAGTAAAATATTAAGTAAGCAATTACAAGGTACATTTTAAAAGACTTTAGATGTAAAAGCACATGAGCCAAATAGTACTTAATAACCCCAAAACATGCAGTCAATGTATGCACAGAATAAGTTACAATTGCCTTATATTAACTAACTCAGTATTCTTGACATTATGGGAAAACAAAACCAAAAAAACCTATAGAGACTGAGAGATGACTTAATTATGTCAAGCTCAGTTACCTCCAAGAATATCAATGATTTAATGAAGCAACCTAAAAGATGAAGCCACTATAGTTTTTCAGGAGTAATTGTAGATAATTAACACATAGTTAATGAACTGCTAAGCCAAGTACATCTGAATCAATGTCCTGATCACCTAAGCTCATCTTCCATCAAAGTTTTCATAGAACAATCGCAATAGCAACATAAACAATAGCAATAGTAATATAAAAACCAGAACTTTTATAACAAATGAAAGCATGTAAGTATAACCTTAACTAAATTTACTATTTATCATCTTTATTTAAAAAGACAATAAAATGTATGGACTTAAGATCACCTAAATTATTTCTGTATGAATATTACCATTAATTGTACAACTTTAAAAAGTTTTACAAATACTGTTAAATATTTAAAAGAAAATTTGGTAATAGTGATAAAATCTGATTTACATTAGCTGAATTTATAATTCTGCGTGACAATAACGTGTGTACTATGGATATTCAATATTAAAACAATGAGGGTCTACAGCATAGCCACTCCATAGATGTTAAAGTGTCTAATGTTGAAAAAGCTGTAGGTGATGTAGAAATAGAAACATATTTGCTTAACTGTGTTTCTAAGTAGAGCAATCATATAGTCAGAAGAAATGCTCTAAAGGAAAAATGGTGCACAATTTGAAGCATATATGAAATATTAAAGAAAAAAAGAAGCTAGAAATATGGTAGATTGTTTAGTGTGTGGAGTCAATAAGTAGTTTAAAATATGTATATTCTTGCAAGCTTTTTCTTGAAAAGCCATAGATAGTCTCAAGTATCTGCAAAAATTTAAAAAAACCCAAAACACCAAGAGAAGATAAATACAGCTATCGATAAGGATATTGAAAGGCAGTATGATCATTACTCATCTGGGAATTTGATTTCTTTCCTTCCATTCTTCCTTCCCTAACTCCCCATTTTCTTTCTACAGTGTCAGCAGCTCATCTTTCACGTGAATTATGTTGAATTACACAAGTGTATTTTTCTCCTTCTATCATAACTAAAATGCTACAAAAAAAGAATATCTCTTAAGGAAAATAAAGTGACTATTTTATATCTTAGCATATATTTATACTGGCTGCTTCACAGTAGTGCTAGTCAAACACAGCAGTTTCAACTTCTATATGGGTCAATTAGCTTTGCACAAAGATAAAATGTTGTCAAGGTTCCAGATTATGAAATTAATTACAGTCAGATACTTGATGTGTGTCAGTATATGTTAAAATATAGTAACATAAATCAAGAATTTATCAAGCACATCCAATCCACCAATAATAATTTACCAAAGAATCATTACTACTTCATAAATGTAAAAAATTCCTTAAGTCTTTTGTCTCTGCTCAAAAATTTTCAATATTAAAATTTGTCTTAATTAGTAAATTTGTTATTTGAGGGCACATTATTAAGACCCAATTATATACACACTTCTTAGCTTTTTAGTTGCCATCATGTATATACTTCATATTCTGACAGTCTGTTAATGTAATTACTGTAGATTTAAGATTTTCCTCACAGAATGAGAAGCTACTTAGGATATATAGACAAAATTGGACACAAAACCAATATATTTTAATTTCTTTCCTTATTTGACACCTACAAAAAAATTTTCAGTTACAATATAAGTTTCTCCAAATTAAAAAGCTTTCTAAGAAAAGAAATACTTAAGTTACAAAATAAAATAGTATAGATAATATTAACTATAAATATTAATTTTAGAGTCCATGGGATTAGGTATTCTAAAGTTGTATTAGTTGATGTTAAGAAACTAATTAAGTACTATCAACCTCTAAGATTTTTTTTTTTGCCAGCAATACTTATCATAGTATTTGTTTGCTAAAAATATCTTCTTCTGTCATTTAATATTTAAGTTTTTGTGATTAAACTGCTCTAATTTTGATGATGTTTCATTACTTTATCTCAAGCAGGCTAGTAACTGATAAAACAGGAGTTGCAGAATGCTATTATAGTTACAAGTCAGATTTGGGCTTTCCTGTTTAATATTTCTACACATGCAACACACATTAGGTTATCAAAGTATTTAAGTCTTGTTTAAAATCATTAGTTGAATTTAATAACTTTTATGCTAAAATCTTGAGATTCAGGAGTTTGTCTTTAAAGTTATACCACTGTAAAAAACATACAAAAATAGTTTGCAGAACTTTACTTGTTACCTTTAAAATATGAAGGAGCCAATATTTTCTTTAGCTTAAACAAACTGTTCATCATACTTTTAGTGTACGGACTTGCACTCCATAATGTCCATCCAGATGCAGTCTGACCACATATATATCCATGCAACTGCATTTAAGTCCTAGATCTCAACTTTGGTATGTTATGTTAAAAATTCAAGGTACAAACAATGGTTCATTGTAACAATTCACACTGCTTTGTGATGTGTACTAAAACACTGGCATTACTATTACTGTATTATTATGTTAAAGATGATTCAGTGTAGGTGGAAGTGTTTCTTTAACGTCTTTTATACATGGTAAGGTAAATTCTATAGAACGATAAACATCTGAATAACTGACATTAAATATGAAGTGAATATAACAACTCCAACAAACATACAAATTTGACTTAAATGCAGATTTAGGATGTAACTTGTTCATAGTGTGGGAATTACTAGCACATGATATATTTGTACAATTTCCAAATCACAAAATGTCTTCGTTCACAAAACATATTGTGACATTAAGCAATGTATGATAGTATTGTCATGTTGCCTGGTAGTAAGATGTTTCTTTAAATCAACACACAAGCAATATTCAAATGTAAATCTGCATTATGATAACCAATCTCAATATTTTTTTAAAAAGAACTGTTGATAAAACTGTTCACGTATCTATTTTCAGGAATAGGTCTATGGGAGATTTCCATCACAGAACTTTAATTTCTAACATTAAATGGTATTAGTTTCACTGTGAAAAGCAGTTTTGTCATTCAGTTTCATTAAGAAAGAGTAGGGGGAAAAGCCAGCAGGAAGAGAAAGAATCTGATGTCGTTTGTCTACATAAGGAACAGAGTAGATAATAAACAGCAAGCAGTGTCGGTGTCAGACAGTTAGGACTGTTATAACGGAAATCTGTCAGTCTTGTTCTCACAGAGAAGTTAGTAGATCTGAACCACCATTTTTGGCCTAGAACATTTCACACTATGCCACCAGGGGTTTTTGCTGTTGTTTCTTTCAATGGCCTGTGAAGATAATGTAATTTTTAATAATTTTCATTTGCATGAAAGTTTACAAATACTATTGGTGTTTAATTCAATCATTAATATGTTGTTGTTGTTGTTGTTATGTGCCGTCGAGTCGTTTTTGACTCATAGTGACCCTATGCACAACAGCCCTAAACCCTGCTCTATCCTGCGCCAACCACACCGCCTCTGACACACCCATCCCGATTACCCCAGTCACCGAATCAATCCATCTCATAGAGGGTCTTCCCCTCCTGCACCGTCCCTCCACCCTCCCAAGCATGATGTCCCTCTCCAAGGACCCGTCCCTCCTGGCAACATGTCCAAAGTATGTCAGACGAAGCCCCAGAATCCTTGCCTCCAAGGAGCAGCCTGGTTTAATCCTCTCCAAGATGAATCTGTTTGTTTTCCTGGCAGTCCATGGTACATTCAGTACTCTTCACCAGCACCACAGCTCAAAAGCATCCACTCTCCTTGTGTCCTCCCTAGTCATTGTCCAACTCTCTGATGCATAACAAGCGATTGCAAATGCCATGGCCTGTATCAGGCGCACCTTAGTCTCCGGAGAGACACCGTTGTTCCTGAGTACTTTAGAGAGATCCCTAACAGCAGACTTTCCCATCGCGATACGCTTTTTGATTTCCTGACTGCTGGTGCCAAGAGTGTTGACTGTGGAGCCGAGCAAACTGAAGCTGTGAACAATCTCAATCTCTTTGCTATCCATCCTGACGCTGCCAGTTGGTCCAGTGGTGAGAATCTTTGTCTTCTTGACATTGAGCCTCAGTCCATACTGAAGGCTGCAGTCCCTGACCCTTCGCAGCAAGAACATGAGGTCCTCCTCAGTTTCAGCAAGCAGGGTTGTGTCATCTGCATAACGCAGATTGTTAATAGATCTTCCACCAATCCTGATGCCACAATTTTCCTCATAGAGCCCAGCCTCTCGGATAATCTGCTCTGCATACATGTTGAAAAGGTATGGAGACAGGATGCATCCCTGGTGTACACCCTTCCCAATTTTGAACCATGCAGTGTTACCCTGCTCTGTTCTGACTACTGCCTCTTGATTCAAGTACAGGTTTCGCATTAGCACAATTAAATGTTCTGGGATTCCCATTCTTCTCAGAGTCAGCCACAGTTTGTTATGATCCACACAGTCAAATGCCTTTGCATAATCAATGAAACACAGATAGACATTCTTCTGGTATTCTCTGCTTTCAGCCAAGATCCATCTAACATCAGCAACAATATCCCTAGTACCACGACCCCTTCTAAACCTAGCCTGGACTTCCGGCAGTTCTCTGCTGATGTGCTGTTCTAATCGTTTTTGGATAATCTTCAGTAGAATCTTGCTTGTTTTATAATATTAATGATAATTGATGAGTACATACTTTATATATATTTAAAAATTCAAACTGAAGGAGGAAGAAAACCCCAAGTCATTTAGTCAGTTATGGTAGGAGACTCAGCCCCATGACATCATAACAAGTGATGACGA